AGGAACAACATGGACTCAGGAGATAGTGGACTTAATACAAAATAAAGGTGATGTCGAGAAAAGTAAAAGAGCACCTACCCACATACGAATTCCCTTCATCGAATGGGTAATACCAGGAATAGGATGTGGTTTGGAACAAGCTAATGCAATGCCCTCACCACGGACTCTGAAAACTCATCTTCCCTTTGACCTGCTGCCTCCATCGTTGCTAGAGAAAAACTGTAAGGTAAAAAACAAAAGGAATTGGAAGTTATACTACTCAGAATGACCCAAGAGTGGTCTTCAGTCAATCACCTCTTAAAATTTTTCACTTGCAAAAAAAGAAAAAAAAACTTCACTTGATCCTAATGGAGGGGGGACAAAACTATATTATATCTTGACATTAATCAAATACCAAATCCTTTCTGTTTCTTACAAATCTAGGATTACAAGAATCAAGCATCAAAAGAAAAAAAATGTGAACATAGATAAACACAGAGAGCATTATGATTAGTAAAATAAGTTAATAAAAACAGTACAAATATTTCATTAGATCACTATTATAAAAAGTCAAGAAGATTTACACACAGAAACATTCCTTGACAATTACCAAGGATAGAATGAGAAGGGAGGAAAAATATCAATAGTCCATGTTGTTGCTGGTTTATGCAAACTTTTTTTTTTAACGAAACAAGCCACATTTAATCTGTACTTTTGTAGAAGGGCCTTATTCCCTTGGCTCTGTAGACTTCAGGTGATATCCTTCTCCATCTCTATTTTAACAGCCTGCTTCCTTCCTTTTATACTTTAAAAGAGACCAAGACACACCCTACACTAGTATTGCCTCAGTAGTATACCAGACACTACCCGTTCCCAAATGGGACTATGGCCACAGGCATTGTCACTAGGTGACTCATAAGGAAACCTTGCCAGTCCTGTGACATCGTCACAGCCTCTGCTGTGCTTAAACCCATTGCCCCAGTCACTGTGACAGTCTATCTCTCGGAGGTGCCTCTACTTTTCTAAACACGAGACCCTTTCCCGGGGACTGGCTCCTCTTGATAACATGTCTGACATGTGTGGGTGAAGCCTCATCGCCCTTGCTTCTAAGGAGCACTCTGGCTTCAGTTCTTCAAAGACAGGCTTGTTCGTTCATTTGGAAGAGGCAAACCTGGAGTCTTGCCTGTCATACCCACGAGGGAACATGTTTTGGATTCCTGCAGCACTGATGAGAAAGTTCAGCCTTAGGCTCAGCACCTTGGGCAGTGGGTCAGAGGTGACCAACATCAGGCTGTGTACCTGTTCTGAGTCTGAGAGGTTTGGAGACATATCACTGCTCCCAGCAGAAACTGAAGTGTGGAGAAAGAAAGGAAAGATGGGATTTGGTTTCTACCTGAAAGCCAGACAGCAGAAATCTGACCACAGCCAGGAACCTGATGATGTGCCTTTGTATTTAAGTTAAACTCCTTGGAGGCTCCATTTGAGGTTGTTGCAAGAACAGCTTGTTCCAACAAGCTCCTAAATAATGTCCATGTGGCAGTGTCTGATGTGACTCACACACATCAGGCCTCCGTATCCCTGATTTTCGAGGGTGCTCTCAGCTAGAGGCTTTGAAGCCAAAGCCACTGTCAGAGGGCAACATCAAAAACAATTAGTTGGAATCAACCCATAGCTGACCCTCCAGAGGGTTTTCAGAGGCAGTTCATCACAAGAGAGATTGCCCATCTTCCTCCCACAATTAACTTGGGAACGTAAAAACAACAAGAAACTTTTCAAAAATGGTGGTGAGTGACATTGCTGTATTACATCTGGCAGCTCAAGGTCCTGGGTGAGGATGAGGATGGTACAAGATGGGCCTGGGACATCACATCAGATGCTGCCACGTGGACATTATGCAAACTTCTTAGACATAACTGAATCCTTTGAGGGTATAAGTCCCTAACCTTGAGGGCTTAGGCCATAGTCTTGAGGAACATCTTGGTCAATTGGCACAACAAAATGCAAAAGATAAAGTTTTATATTTTTCTCTGAGGAGTAGCAACTGGGGTCTTAAAAAGCTCCTGGGCCGCCAACTAAGACATAGCTATTGGACTCTTCCCACCTGGAGCAAAGAAAACCAGAGTCAAGAGAACATGAAGTCCACAGGACTAATGGATCACAGAAATCACAGCCTCTACTAATCTGAGAACAGAACTAGATGATGACTGACTACCACTACCAGGCATGCTGGCTGGGATCATAATAGCAGGTCTAGCAGGTCTTGGACAGAGAAGAGGGGGAAAAGTAGGGGGGGGGGGTAAGGAAATCAAAAGACCAGATGGCTCATGTGATATCAAGAGACTCAAGAACCCCAAGACTATATATCCTTATCCTTAGACACTCTTCAAACCTTGAACTGAATCCACCCCGAAGAGCACCTTGCATCCAAACAATACATGGTTGTTGTTATGTGCCAAGTTGAAACTGGCTTTGAGCTGACCCTCCAGCAAGTTTTCAGAGGCTGTAAATCAACAGGTGGAGATATTTACCCATCTTTGCCCTCTAGAATAGCTGGTGGATCCAAACCACTTGCCTTTGGGTTGGCAGATAATTCCTTACCACTAGACTCCTTGAGGAATAATCAACCATATAAGGCAAAAATGGCAGTATTTGCCCCAAAACATGGTTTAGAGAGCCATACAGATAACTAACTAGAATCAGGAAACCCAAGGAGGAAGTGAAAGAGTGCTGTTACATTGATAAATTTTCAAGAAATGTCAGCAGCCCCCCAAAAAAGTGTATACATTATTGAATAAGAAACAAACCAATTTTCTCTATAAACTTTCATCAAAACCACAATTAAATGTTCCCTGCAAAAATGTGATATGTATGAAATATATTAACTTTAATATGATAACATTTGTTGTGTGTTGTCAAGTCAACCAATGTATAGCTGAAGCTCTAACAGGTTTTTACAGGCAGTAAACTGCATGATAGGAGGCTGCTCATCCTTCTCCCACAGAAAAGTTGGTGGATTCAAACTGTGTACCTTTGGGATTGCAGCACAGCTTCTTACCACAGACCACCATGGTAATAATAACTCTCTGAAGTTTTAATCATATGTTTGCTTCTTCCCCATTTCCCTCAATTCTCAGATTATCTATGTAGCACGAAACCCCAAGGACAATATGGTATCATATTACCATTTCCAAAGAATGAATAAAGGACTTCCTGATCCAGGAACTTGGGAAGAGTATTTTGAGACTTTTCTGGCTGGGAAAGGTAAGAGAATTTACCTGCACGGCTTCTTTTCTCAAAAATATCAAACTCAACTCATTGCCATGAGTCAGAGCATACTCAAGGCTGATTTTCCAGCAAGTTTTCAAGGCTGTTCATCACAGGGAAGAGACTAGCCATCTTTTTTTTCCCTTATAGCTGGTGAACTGAACTGTGAGACACAACTTTGAATTAGCACAACTGCCTATGACTTGCACTACCAGAGCTCACTCAAAAATATCAAAGCCTTCAAAACATAAAATCATTTCCTCAGCAGGAACTTTGCTGTATTGAATATGAAGAAATCATCCATTTAATATTCTCTTCTTACAGAATTCTTTCAATGAAACATTTGTTTTTAGTTAAACTACTGTGACTCTTGGTTTTGATTTTCATCTCTGTCTTTCAGTGTGTTGGGGTTCATGGTATGACCATGTGAAAGGATGGTGGGAAGCCAAAGATCAACATCAAATTCTCTACCTTTTCTATGAGGATATGAAGAAGGTAAGAAGCAATATTGTTTAAAATGTTTCCATTTGTCCACCAGATGCTCTGCCGGGGAAGGAGGGACAATCTCCTCCAGTACCAGTCAGATCTGATTTGACAGTACACGCACACAAAAATAATAAAATAAAATAAAATTTTAAAAAAGTTTCCATTTGGTCATAATATTTTTCAGTCTTATTATATAGACACCATCAAGAACTCATGGATTATAACAAAGAACAGAAAGTTGATGCATTTAGTTACCTAAAGTTGTTCATGCATCAAAGTGTATAAGGATAACATGAGTTTATTTATTACATGGTATGATGTGCAACTTCCTCCTCTCCTAAGGAGGTATACTTCACTTTCCCTTACAGACATGTTACTGTTGAATACAACTAATTCTTTTTGTAATTTTTCCCTGTTATTTGTATTTTAAAATTCCATTTACAAAAGAAGCTATATTCCTAGCATTAGTGGAGTTTTCGGTTGTTTGGGGGATTTTTTCCTCTCTAGAACACTGGAGGGGGGAAATTTCATTTCAAGATGAAGTTTAAGATATAATGATGTAATGAAAACACTAAGGAATAATGGTGTAATTAAAACACTAATGACATAGGGTAAAAAAATCTTAAATTCATGTCCTGGTTTCACGCCTTATGTCAATTATTCTTGGTGAAGACACTAAATCTCCTGGAAGTGTTGTTGCTGCTGCTATTGTTGTTAGATGCCATGCAGTCAGCTCCAAATCATAGCTACCCTATGTATGACATAACATAACTCTATCCAAACCTGCACCATCCTCACAATCTAGTGAGGCTTAAGTATATCTTTGCAGTCACAATGACAACTCACCTCATTGAAGGTCTTCCTGTCTCTAACTGACCCTCCACTTTTCCAAGCACGATGTCCTTTTATAGGATTTGGCCCCTCCTAATAACATACCTTAATATTTGAGACAGTCTCACCATCCTTGCCTCTAAGGAGCATTTTGGTTCCAAACCAGATTTGTTTGGGCATACTCTTTTGGTAGTTCATGGTATAGTCAGTATTGCATGATATATACAACACAATTCAAAAGTTATCAGTTCTTCTTTGGTCTTTCTTATTTATGTTATTCAAATACACCTTTGTTTTCAAAGTGACTTCCTTGCTCTTTAGCACTTTATAGACAGCATTTAGCAGATGTGCCCAAGGCACTATGTCATTTGATTTGACTGCTGCTTTGATGGGAGTTGATGACGATTCAAGTAAAATGAAATCTTCCACAAAAGTCAATCTTTCCTCTATTTATCAAGACATTGTTTATTGGTGTTCTTTAAGTTTAGGTATAATTTACACAGAAGGCTATATCTTTGATCTTAAGTAAGTGTTTCAAGTCCTCTTCACTTTCAGTAGGTGGTTTAGTTTCCTTAAATGCAAAATGAAGATAATATATAACCCTCCAAGAACTGTTAAATGGACTAAATGAGATAATGTGAGTAGAAGTTTATTGTAAATGGTAACCTGCTTAACCACGTACTGTGAATAATTTACTATATATGGAGCTCTATAAAAAATTGCAATCTCTGTTCTTAAATTTGCAAAGAAAAACATTGATAGTCAAAAGATGGTTCATAGACTAGGTGGATGGACTCTCACAACCCATTCCAAATCTAATAAATGAGAACAGATTTTTACAAGGATTCAGGTGATCCATATGCCCATTAAACTTTAAGATGTATTTCTCTAAGGCTCCATCACTGGTAAGCCTTAACTTTTATAAAATATCAAAACATGCAATCATTTTCATATCTTTTTTCTTAAAAAGTTACACTTCCAGAATTCTCAGAACCCAATTAAAGAATTATCAGAACAATATGTGAGTTTATCAAAATAAAATTCTCTCCCTCTTTGTGTTTACCTGTTGTTGTGTTAAGTGCTGTTGAGTTGTAAATGACTCATAGCGACCCTCTGAATGAAAGACCTGAGCACGGTTCATAGAGTTTCTGGAGGCATGCCATTTTGGAAGTGGATGCCACTCCTGCTTCCAAGCTTGTTTTAATCGGGAAGCTCCACCAAACACTGTCCACCTACCATTTAAAAACAAAAAAACTAGGGCACTCTGGTGGCCTAGTGGCAAGAAGCTGCACTGCAAATCAGAGGTGCAGGATTCGAATCCACTAGATGCTCTGCTGGAGAAGGAGGGGCAATCTCCTGTACCAGTGAGATCCAATTTGATGGTACACACACAAAAAATAATAACATTTTAAAAAATAAATTAGTAAATAAATTTTTTTTTAAATTCCTAAGTGACAAGAAAGTATACAAAAGGAGACTGTCATTGCCCAGAAAGAGTGCTATTACAATGCAGGGATTGCCATTAATATCATGAAACCAAATGTCTATAAATTACTGAATGGAAATCCAATTTGCTCTTTAAACTCTCACTCACCACACAGTAAAAAAGAATCAATGCTTTTGAGTTGTGGTGCTCAAGAAAAGTATGGACCGTCAAGAAAACAAACAGGTTTGTATTGGAGAGGGTGAAACCAAGTTTCTACTTGGAGGCTAGGATTTTGAAGCTCCATCTCAGATATTTTGGGCACGTGACCAGGAAGGATCAGTCCTTAGATAATGACTTCATGCTCAGAAGCTGGATGGACAGGGCAGGAGAGGAAGACCCTGGATAAGATGAATTGCCATAGTAACTGGGGTTATAGGGTTAGGTGTGTCAAAGTCAGTGAGACTGGCTCAAGATAGGGCAGGGTTCAAAGCTGTGAGTAACAGGCAGATCAACAGCACATAACAACAATATATAAAAACCCTTTCAAATATGTATTTGATCATGTTCTGGAATGTCTTAGTATTGTTCACAAAAAAGTTCACAGTTCTTAGCACTCTCTGATTTCTAATACTCTCCCTTACTCTCAGCTATGCAAGACTAATTAAATTAAGCTGTTCTGACATTGAGGCTTTCAAAACAGGAGCCCATATATAGACACAGCCATCAGGGTAGTTTTTCTACTTTTCCTCTCTTGCATTTTTTCTCTAAAAAGTTTTTGTTTTGTGGGGTTTGTAAAAATGTTTTGTTTTCATACAGTAATCCATATACCATTTGTTTCATTCAATTACAGTGTTTTATACAATCATTCATACACATTATATTTTATGTAATGACTTACTATTGAACTATACCTATTACTACCCTTTTTGAGTCTCCATTAAATCTATCATATCCCTTCACACTCCCGTTCCACCCATTAAATCCTACTATCCTAGTGATTTCTTTGCTTCCCCTTTTTCTGCCCAATTCTCCCTTTCCCCATCTCTATTTGGACATTTATTCACACCTTACTGGTTATTCTACTATTTTTACAATAATGGATTTATGTAGTAGTTGTCCTTATGATATTGATTTAGTTCACTCAGCATAATGCTCTCTAGATTCTCCCATGTTATATAGTATTTTATGAAATTGTGACTCCTTACTGCTGCATAGGTAATCCATTGTGTGAATGTATCACAATTTCTCAATCCATTTGTTTGCTGATGGCTGTTTGGGCTGTTTACATTTCTTGCTATTCTGCATAACACTGCTATGAACATAGGTGTGCATAACTCCATTTGTGGCTCAGTTCTAATTTCCTGGAGTATATTCCTAGCAGAGGAATAGCCGGCTCATATGGGCTTTTTGAGGAAATGCCAAACTGCCTTCCAGAGTGGTTGCACCATTTTACAATTCCACGAGCAGTGCAAGAGAGTTCCAATCTCTCCACATCCTCTCTAACATTTATTGTTTGCTGACCTGTTAAATTTTGCTATGGGGTGAGATGGTATCTCACTTTTGTTTTGATTTACATCTCTCTGATTACCAGTGATTTTGAGAATTTATTTCTTCATGTGTCTGTTGGCCATCAAATATATCCCTCTTTGAAAATTTTTTCATGTCTTTTTCCCATTTGATATTGGATTATTAGTCTTTTTCTTGTGAAGGCCGCCTTGTTGTTATGTGCTGTCGAGTCACCTGCGACTCATAGAGACCGTATGAACAACAGCTCTGAACCCTGGTCTATCCTGAGCCAACCTCATAGTCTCTGACACACTTACCCCCATTACTCTAGTCACTGAGTCAATCCATCTCATTGAGGGTCTTCCTCTCCTGCACTGTTCCTCCACCCTCCCTAGTATGGTGTCCCTCTGCCAGGACTGGTCTCTCCTTGCAACATGTTCAAAGTATGTCAGATAAAGTTTCAGAATCCTTGCCTCCAAGGAGCAGCCCAGTTTCACCCTCTCCAGGACGAGTCTGTTTGTTTTCCTATCCATCCATGAAATATTCATTACTCTTCTTCAGCACCACAGCTCAAAGGCATCAATTCTCCTATCACCCCAAGTCATTGTCCAGCTCTCTGATACATAGCAAGTAACTGCAAAGTGTAGGCCCTTTATTATTCTATAAACTTTCGTCATGAGACCCATGCCTGAGATGTCATTGTCAAATGTTTTTTTTCCTAGTCTATGTTTTGTTTTCATCATAGTGAAAGAAGTTTTTTATGTGCTCAGGGACTTGATTTTTTTAGGTCAGTTTCATTCATTGTTTTTATCTTCCTGGTTGTGCATCTAAAAATAGTTTTCAAGGGTTGTGTGTCTTAATGAACATCTGCCTCTTTGGAACTGAGCTCCTTCCAGAGAAACTTAAAGGCTCAGCCATGTAGGGCATCACTGGTGGCATATTAAAAAAACAAAACTTCTCCATTGCTCCTGCTGTCACCACCTGCCACAATTGCCATTACCTGGAGCACCCAAACAAAGTCTTCTTTTTGTCAGGTCTTAAATCTTCTGCCCATGTTTTCTAGAATGTATTTGTTCTTATTGCTTTAGAAAATCTTCCTGTTAGACACTTAGACTAAGATATTTTCTACAACTGATTTGAGCAGGAATTCTGTGCATAATTCTGACACATGCAATCCAAGATAATGACATACAATGGTTGGTGATTAGTTCACTCATCCTGACTTGCCAATGTTCATATACTAAAGAAATGGTTAATTTTTCCAATTAATGAAAATAGATTATTATAAGTCAACAAATAAAAATAAATCATATCTGGAAAGTTGAGCATTTTTAATATTTTCCCTCCAATTTTAATTCATAGCTTGTTACTGATTACTGTCATTAATCTACTTTAATATTCTTTTTTTAACTGGTTATTTTATATAGAATCTCAACTCCTAAACTTCCTCCTCTTCCTCTCCCTCCTCTTCCTCCTCCTCCCCACCTCTTCCTCCTATTCTTCCTCCTCTTCATTTTCCTCTTCTTCAGCAATGTGAGTGATTTGTTCCTAAGTAGAAATGGTTTTTGTTCATGAAACAATATATTGGCTGAAAGAAGCAGAGAAGGAATCATTTGGAGGGCTGTCCTGGTCTGGTCTCTAGGTATGTTGATTATTTGTTCTTTTTTTTCCCGCCTGCCCACTCATCTTTTGACTGTGATCACAGGACCCAAAGAAGGAAATTCAGAAGTTAGTAGAATTTATTGGAAGCAAACTTGATGATGAAACTCTCAATAAAATTATACATCACACTTCATTTGATGTAATGAAGGAGAATCCAATGGCAAACTATTCATCCGTTCCAGCAGAATTTATGGACCACTCCATTTCTCCATTCATGAGAAAAGGTCTTTATGTTTAACTCATTAATAATTTCAAGAGAGTTGTCTATTATTTTAGAGTATTTGTGGAATTCATTATTCTATAGTTGTTTATAGGTGACCCTCCCATGGGTTTTCAGAGGCTGTACATCAGGCTAGAAGAGCTTTCCTCTTTCTCTTTCAGGCTAGCTGGTGGATTTATTAGGAAAAATATTTTTAATTAATGATGCTGAAGAGAAAGCATTTTTAAAACTGCTAATGAAATGAAAATAGTAGTTATTATGAAAGGATCAGAATGAGATTTGATGTCTAAATCTTAGTTCCTACATTCCCCTTCCACATACCAGTTCTGACTAATAAAGTGAAACAGTGAAAAATTAAGTCAGAGTAAATTTATAGCATTATCTATGCTACTAGTTAGATTAGGTCATTCAATAAATACTTCTTGAGAGGTTACTATATGTCAGACATTATCCTGGGCACTGTTTACATTCATGAACAAAACAGACCAAAAACCCTACATTAATAGAAATTACATTCCCCCTTTTTTTGAGACTCATAATATACTATTCATGTCCTAAAAATTAAATAGACTAAAGCTAGATATGTAAAAGTGTCCAAAGCCAAATAAAAATTGCATTCTTGCCACAAAAATACATAGTATTATAGATCACAGGAAGAACTATACAGAAAAATCTGGATAAAGTAATGGGAATTGTTGGAGGGGTTGCAATTCAAGAATTTTGAGGTATTGTTTGTCCTTCCTTGAAACACATTCCTTGGGACTTTCAAACAACAGGCCCTGCTGTGTTTACAGCACAGAAGCTATAGGCATAAGTACTCGTCATGCTTGAAAGCAAAAGAGGGCAAGAGAAAAAGCTAAGTGTGTCCTGCAGACCTGCTGTTCTAACAGTGGTCCCATTTCCCCATTATTGTGATTCCATTGATAAAAGGCTCTTCCTATTCTCATAAATGAGACAAGAAATTCTTATCTTCAGGATAAAAAAAGTGGCAGGTTGACAAGAAAAAGACTTTCCCCAATATTGCTTCTCATAGAATGTGGAATGATAATCATTACACAGAAATGGGACAACAGAGAAGTAAGAACTCCTCCAACAGCTCTTGACTACAGAGAAGTAAGAACTCCTCCAACAGCTCTTGACTCTCTCCCACTTTCTGTTTCAGGGGCAGTGGGAGATTGGAAGAACTACTTCACTGTAGCTCAGAATGAAAGATTTGATGAAGATTACAAGAAAAACATGGCCAATACCAGTCTAGTTTTCCAATTCTAGTGAAGGGGAAAAACAAACTTGGACACATATTTGAAAGTTTTATTTCAAGATCAAAGGAGACCAGGTTCAAGTTCCGGCAATGGTTGAGTTCTGTTTTTATTGTGTTTGCTCTGTCTCACTGCACTAAAAAAAAAGTTATAGAGAGATAGCAGAGGCTGGGGCAAGGTGGAAAATAGTAGCTGGGCTGTAAGTAAAGTAAAGGAGGAAGAGTTTAATATTCAGCTAGCTGAAACTGAGGTATGACTGCTAATTATCACAATATTTAAGTTTTCCATAAATCATGTGCTTATTAGCATTAAAAATGTTTCTGCATTCAGATAAAATACACAAAGGATTTTAGATTATGTTGCATTGAACGAATAGTTAAATACAAGTCTAAAATGTATAAACAGTGACTGTTTTCCAGGAATTTTTTTGTACCTAAGTAGCCATCATGGGACTCAGTTTTCCAATTCACTTCAGGGTTTTTAGTGTAGTACATATGCCCCAATCTTTCTCATTATAGCCTTTTTGTCTACCCATTAGATATGGAGAGAGGAAATCCTAGAGTCATATTTTGATTCACTTCTCTCTAGTGCTTCCACAATCATATGTTTACCTCTCTCATTTCTTTTTTTTATTATTATTACATTTTATTAGTTTTAATGAACATTTACAGAGATTTTGGGTTTTCATTCATTCATTGTTGCACTGTTTTCTCCACCCTCCTCCCCAGTTCGTTCTTCTTTCCCCCCCCAGTGTCTGTTTTAATTGTCCAATTGCCACAGTGCTTGTCAAAGCCAGTTCTGATTAATCTCCTTTGTCAGTGTGTCCCTTGTCATTCCCTATCACTCTTCCCTGAGAGAGACTTCACCCTGATTCATAAGGAAAAGGGGATGGCGTATTCTCTTAGCTACTTCCTGCTGAAAAGGGACGCTGTGGGTTTCAGGGTGAATGTCTTCTCTCACTACTCTAAAGGGCCCCCTTGGCAGTAGGAAACACATAGACTATTATGGAGATTGATTTTGGAATTTAGATGCACTGTTATCAATTGTGCTTAGCCATACATGTTCATATCCTTGAAGATGTATCATGGAAGTATTACAGCCTAGAAGATACAAATTTAACTAACAAGTTAAAAGTGCATGAGTCAAAAATTGAAAAGCAATAATATTCTGAGTAGAGGTTCTAATAGTGGCACAAATCAAGTTACAGAGGTAAGGTGGTTCCATTGCCATCCTTACTCTAACTTAATTCTTTTTTTTAAATTTAAATTTGTTATTAATTTCAATGAAAATTTACAGAGGCTTTGGATTTCCATTCATTCATTGTTGTGGATTTGTCCCCTCCCAAGGCTCCCCCCCACCAGATATTACCCTCTTGGAAAAGTAAAAGAAAAGATTCTTTCATTATTTTACAAACCCTCCCCCAGGTCCACTCTACCATGTAGCCATCGCTCTAGACTCCTGTCATGACAGAAATACCTAATCACATATCTCTTTTAAACAGTTTTCTCCCTTCTCTGTTTCAGAGCAGCATACATTATTGAACCCATCTTACTCAGTCTCTTCCCAACCCCAAGGACAGTCCCATTCTACAACAGTGGCATCATGTAATATTTGTCCCTTTGTGACTGGGATATTTCACTCAGCATAGGGTCACTATGAGTCAGAAACGACTCGATGGCACATAACAACAACAACAACAACAATGTTCTCCAGAGTCAACCATTTTGAGTAATATTGCATGAGTTCCTTGTTTTTTAATGCAGAATAGTATTTCATTGTGCGAATATACCACAGCTTCTCTATCCATTCGTTTGTTGATGGGCACTTAGGTTGTTTCCAACTCCTTGCTATTGTGACCAAAGCTGCAATAAACATGGGTGTGCATATATCTGCTTGGGTGTCAGTTATGGTCTCTTCTGGGTATATTCCCAATAGTGGTATTGTGGAGTCAAATGGTATCTCTATTTGCAACTTTTTGAGAAAGCGCCATACCGCTTTCCACAGGGGTTGCACCATTTTACACTCCCACCAACAGTGAATAAGGGTTCCAGTTTCTCCACAACCTCGCCAGCATTTATTGCTTGCTGTTCTGTTAAATTTTGCTATTTTGACTGGGGTGAGATGATATCTCATAGTTGTTTTACTTTGCACCTCTCTTAGGGCTAGGGATTTTGAGCATTTCTTCATGTGCTTGTTAGCCATCTGAATGTCGTCTTCGGTGAAGTGCTTGTTCATATCCTGTGCCCATTTTTCTATTGGATTCTTTACCTTTATCTTGTTGTGGTACCTCTCTTATTTCTAAGTAATTATTTTCTCTTTCTGGAACTAATCTGCTAGTTCAGAACATTTTACCTCTTGCCTAAACTGATACAAATTCTTTTCTCAGCTCACCACTTTTATCAAGATTAATGTTCTAAAACATGACAGATCATGTTGCTCTTTAGCTTCAAAACCTTCAACAATTCTGAACTTTCACAACTTGAGAGATAAAGTCTAAATGTTTTTGTCATGAATTCAAATGCAGCTATATTTGACTTGAACTTTCCTTTCAGCTTGCAAACATCTTATTTTCACCAAATGAGCCAACTCACTGGCCTCTAATCATATCTTGCAGGTTCCTACCCTTCCAGTTTGCTTATAATATGCCTATACCTGAAACACTTTTCCTTCCCTCTTTTCTCCCTAACTAAACCACAGAATGTGCTCTGGCAACCATTTCAATTCCCTACCTTCTTTCTACAAATACTTAGACACAAAGAGATTGTCAGTTTTTCTGAAGTCCTCTAGACTTGGTGGAAAATCTTCTGTATTAAGATTAAAGTGTATTAGGACATATCTTGCATTTCTATATTGTATTTCTTGTGCTTATTTAACTTTTAACTTTTTTCATTTTCTCCAAAATAAGGACCTTGTTATACTTCATTACATCTAAACAGCAAATGTTGTTCTTTTTAGGTACCATCAAGTGTGACTCATAGTGACCCTATGAATAATAAATATGAACGTTGTCTTATCCTGTGTCATCCTCATCATCTCTAACACATTTGAACCCACTACTGCAGTCACTGTGCTATGTATCTCATTGAAAATCTTTCTTTCACTGGCCCTCTATCTTTCCAAGCAGAACGTCCCCCTCAAAGGAATAGCTTCCCCTAGCAAAATGTTCACAATATGAGAGAAAAGCTTTGCCATCTTTGCCTACAAGGAACATTCTGGTTTCACTTTTTCCCCAGATATATTTGTTCTTTTGGCAGTATGTAGCATATTCAACACTTTTCTCAAACATCACAACTCAAAAGCAATAATTCTTCTTCTGTCATCCATATTGATTGTCCAGCTCTTACATGCTTAGAAAATTACAGAAAGGATCATGGCCTGAATCCAGTGTACCTTAGTCCTCACATTACATCTTTGTTCTTCCATATTTTGGAGAGATCCCTGTCCAATAAGTGAGAAAATGTATCAGTCAAGAAAATGCTAAAAAAAACCCTAACTTTTAATATAACAAATAAAATAAGCATTTGCTGTCCAGTCAATTTCAACTAATGGCAATCCATGTATTGTAGAGTAAATCTAACTGGTCTGCCACAGGATTTTCATAACTGTTACCTTTAAAAAACACATCACCAAATCTTTCTTCTGATATACCTCTGGGAGGGTTCAAATTATCAGTCTTTCAATTTGCAGCCTAGCATGGTATTTGTATATCATGTAGGGGCTTTATCCCATGTAGATGGTCCCTGTTGTTATTCATGGTGATGAGTACCATTGAGTTGGAATCAACCCATAGCCAACCCTACAGTGGATTTTCAGAGGCTGTTAATTGCATGGGAAGAGACTGCCCATCCCTCTCCTGCAGAGCAGCTGGTGGATTCAAACCACATGCTTTCAGAATTGTAGTGCTGTTTCTTACCACTAGGCAATCAGGGTTCAGATGTCAGATGGCCCCACTAGCCACAAAGAGTTACTAGCCATGTATGATTCCTTCAATTTAAATTCATTAAAAGGCATTCACTCATGAGCTAGACAATATTAATTGCTTAATCACCACTTAGTACAACTGGCTATATGTGCCTACATTCACGCACTCATTCACTATTTTCAAGTCAGTCCCAATTCATCATGACTCTCTATCTGGCTTCCAAGTCTATAACTTGCAATGGGATGAGACTACCTATCTTTCTCACTATGGAGAATTTGGTGGCCTCGTGGCAAAAAGCTACACTGCAATCCCAAAGGTAAATGGTTCAAGGCCACCAGCTACTCCACAAGAGGTGGATGGGCAATCCCCCTCTTGTGTGATTAACTGCCTCTGAAAATGGGTCAGTTTTGACCCTACAGTACACAACAACAATTCAGTATCTGGTGAACTTCTAGAGACATACAGCCTTTGGATTATCAGTGCAATTCATAAACTACACCAACACAGCTCCCTTGTGTCCATACTAGACAGTACAGACTACAAACCATCATCAGAGAATGTTCCTTTATATTTTTTTGCAATAATTCATTGAGCATGGTCTTATTCTCATTTTACAGAATAGAGAAATAAAACTGAAGTTCAGAGATATTAGACAAACTGCTTGTTCATATACCTGAAATATGGTCAGATCCTAGAGATACCATTTGACCCAGCAATTCCACTACTGGTAATATACCCTAAAGAGACCATAAACAACATCCAAGTAGATATATGCACACCCATGTTTATTGCAGCTTTGTTCACAATAGCAAGGAGTTGGAAACAACCTAAGTGCCCATCAACAAACGAATGGGTAGAGAAGCTGTAGTATAGTCACACAATGGAATACTACGCTGCATTGAAAAACAAGGAACTCATGCAATATTAAAACTGGGTGACCCTGGAGGACATGATGCTGAGTGAAATATCTCAGTCACAAAGGGACAAATGCTATAAGGTGCCACTGTTGTAGAATGAGGCTGACATCGGGGTGGGGGTAAGACTGAGAAAAACTGGATAAATTATGTTTACTGCATTGAAGTCTATAAGGG